ATCTTCCACTAGCAGGTAAGAGCTTTGGCAAGACCCCCAAACATTTACATGAAACCCCGGAAAGGTATAAAAGGTAAACTCCAGGACTAAAGGCAGAACTGAAACACACTTCCCTGAGGAAGCTGAGAACCCAGCCTTGCCAGCATCAGAATGACCCACTGGTGTTTACCGCCTGCCAGAACAACATCGTAGCTCCTCAGGAAGATAGCACAGTTCAGAACCTCGGTGTTGTGTTAGCCACATAACGTGCAGCATGCAAGAATGGATTACTACTATAAGAAGGGGCAGGAAAAAGTGACCAGAAATCAAGACTTGTTAAAAAGTCCATGGAAACAAGTAGATGAAATTAGCAGAGAAGGACTTCAAAAAAAACCTGGGATCAATTTGTCAAAGGAAACAGAAGAAATGGTGGACAAAATGGAGGAGGACAGGGAGGATTTCTACTGAGAACGAGAATCTATAAAAAAAGAATCAAGTGGGCATTTTATAAGTATAAAAAGCTGTCTGAAAGCAAGAATTCATCAGATTGGTTTAACAGCCATGTGGATACAGCAGAGACAGTAAAATGAAATTCCTCAAAGCAAATCATTAGAAAATGTCCACCCTGAAGCACAGAGAGAAAGCACCAAGAATGGAGAAGAGAGCCGAACAGACAGTTGGAATGATGTGGCATCGAGTCACAAGGTTCAGCGTTTATAACTTTGGGACCTCACGAGGATAGGAGAGAGAAATGGGACAGGAAAGATGAGAAAATACTCTTGTCCAGGCATGCCTTGCTCACTGCACTTTGCCTTATTGCACTTCATGGATATGTATGTATATATATATTTTTACAAATTGAAGGTTTCTGGCAACCCCATGTCAGCAAGTCTATTGGTGCCATTTCCCCACCAGCGTGTGCTGACTTCGCATCTTTGTATTTCATTTTGGTAATTCTCACAGTAGACTTTAGTATCATATCTGTTATGAAGACCTGTGATCAGCGATCTGTGATGTTCCTATTGTAATTGTTTCAGGGCACCGTGAACCATGCCCGTGTGAGACTATGGGTTTAATTTGTGATGTGCCTTCTGTTTGGTCCATCAACTTGCCATGTCCCCGTCTCTCTCCCTCTCCTTGGGCCTCCTTATTCTTGAGACACATACATTGAAATAAGGTCACTTCATAGCCCCATGATGGTTTTAAATGTTCAAGTGAAAGGAAGAGTAACATGTCTTTCATTTAAAATCAAACGCTAGAAATGAAGAAGCTTGGTGAGGAAGACATGTGGAAAGCCAAGATGGGAAAACTAGGCCTTCTGCACCAAAGAGTTAGCCAGTGTGAGTGCAAAGAAAAAGGTCTTGAAGGAAGTTAACAGTGCTATTCCAGGGGACCCATAAATGATAAGAAAGCAAAATAGACTATTGCTGATATGGAGAAAGTTTTAGTGGTCTGGATAGAAGATCAAACCAGCCCCAACATTCCCTTGAGACAAAGCCTAACCCAGAGCAAGGCCCTAACTCTCTTCAATTCTATGAGACTGAGAGGTGAGGAAGCTACAAAAAATTCTGAAGCCAGCAGAGGTGGATTCATGAGCTTCAAAAAACAGAAGTCATCCCCAGAACATCAAAGTTCTAGGTGAAACAGTTAATATTGGTATAGAAGCTGTAGCAAGTTATCCAGAAGATCTAGATAAGACCATTGATGAAGGTGGTTAAACATATTTTCACTATAGAGGAAATGGCCTTTTACTGGAAGAAGATGCTACTTTTCTAGCTAGAAGGAGGGCAATGCCTGGCTTTTAAGTTTCAAAGAGCAGGTGACTCTCTTGTTAGTAGCCACTGAAGCTGGTGACTGTAAAACTCATGCTCATTTATTATTCCCAAAATCATAGATTCTTAAGAATAATGATAAATCTACTTTGCCTATGTTCTATAAATGGAACAACAGAGCCATGATATTAGCATATCTGTTTATAGCAGGCATTCTCAAACTACGGCCCATGGGCAACATGCAGCCTGCCTAGTACATTTATCCAGCCCGTTGGGTGTTTTTGCCGCTGCTGCCTGTCCTGCTTAGCGCCAACTCTTCCTGGGGCCCGCAGTCCAGCCCGCCAATGGTCTGAGGGATAGCGAACTTGCCCCCTGTTTAAAAAGTTTGAGGACCCCTGGTTTACAGCATGGTTTATTGAACATTTTAAGCCCACTGTTGAGACCTACCATTCAGAAGGAAAGGATTCCTTTCAAATTATTACTGTCCATTGACAGTGCACCTGGAGCTCTGACGTAGCTGTGCGAGGGGATGAATGTTGTTGCTTTTATGCCTGCTGACCCAACATCCATTCTGAAGCCCATGGATCAAAGAATAATTTGACTTCACATTTTATTATATTAAGAAATACATTTCGTAGGGTTATAGACGCTGTAGGCAGTGATTCCTCTGATGGATCTGGGCCAAGTGAACTGAAAACCTTCTGGAAAGGATTCACCATTATAGATGCCATTGGGTACGTTCATGAATCACGGGTGGAGGTCAAAACAGCAACCTTAACAGGGGTGTGGAAGAAGTTGATTCCAGTTGTCATAGAGGACTTGGAGGGATTCAAGACTAGAAGAGAAAGTAACTGCAGATGTTTCTGGAGTAGCAGGAGAACTCGAATTAGAAGTCGAGCTTTTAGGTGTGACTGAACTGCTGCGATCTCCTGAGGACAGCTGAATGAATGAGGACTTGCTTCTTAGGAAGGAGCGCAGAAAGTAGTTTCTTGAGATGGAAGTGACTCCTGGTAAAGATGCTGTGAACATCGTTGAAATCACAGCAAAGGATTTATATTACATAAACTTGGTTGATAAGGTGGCAAGCAATAAGGTTTGAGAGGATTGACTCTGACTTTGAAAGGGTCTTCTAAAAGAAGAGTCAAATGATGCGGTAAACCTCACTGTTGTCTTATATTAGGAAATTGTCACAGCCCCACCCTGTCAGTCAGAAGCTATTAACATTAGGTCAAGACTTTCCCCCAGCAAAATAATTAGGACTCACTAAGTGATCACTCAGATGATCATTAGCACTTTCATCGCAAAATGTTTTAATGTAAGGTGTATATATTTTCAAAGACACAATGCTATTGCACACTTAACAGACTCCAGTATAGTGCAAGCATAACTTTTCTACGTTTGCACTGGGAAACCAAACAATTCACGGGACTGGCCTGATTGCTAAATTTGGTTTATTGCAGTGATCTGGGACTGAACCCATAACATCTCTGAGGTGTGTCTGTATTTATGACGTGATGCAGAAACCCTGAGTTATGTTACATTCCTTTAAAGAAGGCTGCATTTTGCTCTGAGTATGGTTTAAAGGCAATGCCATAAAGGTGTGATAGGTGTTATATTTTAGCCATGAGAAATGTAAGGGAATCGAGTATTTAATTTTCTTTCTGATTATTAAGATTTGTATCACTTTAACAATTATACAATTACTTGATTCTTCATCACATGAGATTATCAGTAAGTTATTTTTCAACAAAGGATCCTATAGGCATACACTTTATTTATAAATTATATGCCATATCATTCTGTTAACATGTAATGCTTTAAAAACATGTGCCAAAATGGAAATCTTAAACTAAAGAGATAACATAGACATCCTAGAAGTTTCTTCCTGTCCCTCAGTGAATCTCCTTGTATATTTTTGAAGAACACTGGCTAGCCCTGGATCGAGGGCAGTGTCTTTCCTTTTTTTTGGTTGCAGTTCGGCTGGGGCTGGGTTTGAACTCGCCACCCTCAGTATATAGGGCCGGCACTCTACTCACTGAGCCACAGGTACCTCCCGAGGGCTATGTCTTTCAACTTGGCAAACCTGCCGTGTCGGCTTCCTGGGCTGCCATAACAAAGTGGCTCACTTAAATAATGGACATTTATTGTCTTGTGGTTATGGAGTGTCGGAGTCAGAGGTCAAGGGGTCAGCAGGGTCAGTTATTTGGAAAACCATCGGGGAGAAGCTTTGCCATGCGGTTTGTCAGCCGTCCCTGGTGATCTTTCACTTGTAAACACCCCACCCCGATCTCTGCCTTCGTCTCCACCTGGGGTCATCCCGGAGTCTTTTCCCGATGTTCTCCCTCTGTGCGTCTGTGTCTGTGCTCAGATTTCCTCTGTTTACGGGAACCCTGGTCGTACGGCAGTAGGGCTCACCCTAATGATTTCATTTTCCCTTGGTTGCTTCAGTAAAGACCCTATCTGTAAATGAAGTTGAATTCTGACCTTCTGGGGCTTAGGACTCTGCCATCTCTACGGGGGAGATACGATCCCACCCATAACCCCTGGGCTGGTTGTGTACACTGTATGTGAGGCAGCCTCGATGTGTGTGAAGAAGTTGTATGCAAATCATTTATCTGCCATCAAGTACCAGTGGGCGTGTGATTAATAAAGTGCTAGCAGGGTGTCGTTTATAAACAGGCCTTCCTGAGGTCCCGCCAACGTGTTTCCCGTGAAAATGAACCAATTCTTTATCTACCTGAAGGTTTTCTTTAACTCATAGGAATTCTGTTTTGTATAGAGGTTTCTGATGGCAGAATCGCGCATAAAACTGAAAGCTTATCGGGGAAGAAACGTTTTCCTTGACATTTTTGTTCCCTTCCTTTCCTCACATCTCCCCACCCTTCCACCTATTGACCCCTAGGTTTTTTTTTTTTTTCGGAATCTTCTGATACGTGATAGACGATCAATAACTAAACACACCGTGGATTCAGTTTATCTTTTTGTGAAGTGTAAATTCCTTTGATAGAGTTCATAGAAACTTCCTGATCAATGATCTTGGTGCAGATAGCTGGAATTCATGAAGAGCATTTGTGCACGTGCGTGTGTAAGCAGAACCCCCCCCCTGCACCGCCTTCCCCACAGTGGTTAGAGGAGAACTGAAAGCCTGGCTGGTACGC